AGGATCATGGAAGGCTTTTCCCAAACTGATACTGCATGGTCCAAAAGTCCTCGAGTAAGAGGAAGGCGACAGAAGCAGGGGCTTCAGAGTAAAGCGCACTAAGGATTTTACTCTTGGTTTTGGGTTGGAGGCCCTGACGTCCAGGTTAAGAGACTTGGCCACGTGACGCATCTGTTCAAAATAGAGGTGCAAGTCCTCATTGGGTGAAGACATTGAGGGGTCCCTCACAGCCTCATCCAGTGACAGTCTGATGGGAATTCAGAACCCAGCTTTGTCAGTGAAGTCCTGTCATATGGGTACAGTTGCCAAGGGACCAGAGGGTATGAAATTGGCCAGGGCATAGGATGTATCTGATGGTTAGGAACAGAGTTTCGGAACTGCATGGGACTGCTGTGCAGGTGGAATCTCTCCCTCTCAACCTGAGTCCTCTGGTTCCTGAAGGTGAGAAGGGATCTAGGGTGGTGATAGGGGAGCTTCTGTTTCCTCCTCCAGGAATATAGGGTCCTCTGGAACTGAAGGAGCTGGCTGTCTTGATTCTGGATCCTTGTGATGAGGAGACCTTGGTGTCTCATGCATTGATTTTGACTTTGGAGGTTGTTATGATGTGCTCCTTTGTGAAGGTGATGAAACCAGTGACTGGAACCAATGCCTAGGCAGGCACAAGGATGGAACCAATACAAACAACAAAACCAATTTGGGTTGCAAAGACTACTCCCACATGGCAGATTGCTTTGCGGCTAGGGTATCAGAAACTGTCAGGACCTTTCCCCAAAGAGCCACTTTGAGTCATAATGCCCTATTGCTTTGAGCCTCCAGGGTTAAGCATTGACAGTGGTGACAAGATTCCACATTATGGGACTCTCCAAGGCACAAAAGACAAAGGGAATGCTTGTCAGTCTGAGTCATTTTGGTACCACGCTATCTTATATGTCCCTATCTTATATGCATACCACTGTAAAATCATTTACACACACCTCCAAAAACACATCTATATACTATTAGCCACTCCTGGGCCCAATCTGCAGATAGCTAAATACACAGATTGGGGGCACATGGAGGCTAAACAGATTTTTCTGCAAATTTGGGCAATCCCCAGGTTTGCAGAAAAATCTGAAATCAACATTAAAGTATACAGGGGGGTTAACCCCCCCCCAAAAAATTGTGTTGTCTGTGCACTTGCAAGCAACACTCTTACCTGCTCAGAATGGAGTCGCTACAGCCCAGTCTGTTGGTGGACACTGGCAGCTGTGACAGGCATGGCCTCAGCATCAAAGGCCAGCTGCCATGCCAGCCCAGCTGCTGTGGCTGAGGATGCCTGGGAGTCACTATGGCTGGGCTGCAGTGGAGGAGGACACCTGGCAGCAACTGCAGCCCAGCTGTGGTGGTGGAGGATGCTTGACAGCCACACTGGGCCCGGCCGCTATAGAGGAGGATGCCTGGGAATTGTTGTGGCCCAGCTGCAGCCCAATCATGGTGGCGGAGGATGCCTAGCAGCCACACTGGCCTGGCTGCAGCAGAGGAGGATGCCAGTAGCTGTGCTGGGCCGAGCAGCTACAGAGGAGGATGCCACGCTCACCCCTCTGCAAGTCTCACCCCCCCCTCGAGCTCGGAGCAGCTCCCAGACACTGCTGATGCCCGTGAGTGGCCACCAAGATCAGTTGCATAGATGCCACTCGGCAACTCTGTACATTCACCCTTCAAGTTCCTGGCTATTAAGAAATCATTTCGTGCAGATGTTTTAAAGTGCGTACATTGTACATGTACAGAGGAGAGTGGGATTGCACCTGTTGGCTCATCCTTCACATTCACATGGATACATGAGGCTGCTTTATACTGAGTCTGACCATGAGTCCATCAACGTCAGGACTACTCTGCCTGGCAGCGGTGGCAACCTTTCACACCACCTACCACCTGATCCTTTTTAGGCTGGAGAGGATACGGATTGAACCCGGGACTTCCTGTATGCAAAACAAAGGTTCTACCATTGAGTCAGGGTCGCTTCCCAGCCCAAATGTATAAGTGTATGAGACATTCACACGGTATCTGTAGTGAACCTACGTTGATAGATGAGTAAGGCTCACTGAGGACAGACTTCAGCTGAATGGGGAGATGCTGGGAATGGGGCCAGAATCAGTGACCCCACTACCCTCTCTGTGCATACAATGTGTACGCTTTTTAACATCTATACAGGATTGTTGTGGACATGGTCAGCCTTCTTTCTCATAATTTACGTACCAGTTGGCTAAGGAAGAGGAGGAGGAGGCAGCAGCAAGAGGGAAGAAGAGGCACCTGGGGTAGAAAGGGGTTGTCTTTCTTTGTTGCCACTTTTTCTTTCCCCTCCTCCTCAGTCACTCCTTGCTGCCAGCATACCGCTGAGGAGACTTTGTAGCAGTGCTTTCCCCTCCATCCCCCCATCAGCTGGTCAGAAGCAACAGTGGGTGGCAGCTTGGAGCAAAGAGCCCTTTACACTCAATGCTTCAGGAAGCTCAGAATTTACAATATTTCAGCTGAGGTTGCCAATCAAGCAGTCAAGTCAGTTTTGGGCATTTACCTCACTTCACTCCATTGCCAGAGAAAAATGGGAGCTATTTTTCTCACTCCCATCCAGTCTTTCCATCCCCACATATTTATTTGTAGTTTTTAAATTGTCCTCAGCTTCCCTTGGATGCATTATGAAGAGCCAAGGTTGGAACATGCATTTGCCTCACCTGCAGGGATAGTCCTGAATAGTGAAAGTGAAAAGCCAGCTGCCAACTTCCTGCATATGCTGTTCATTCAGGGAGGCAACTGGGTGCACCTGCCTAATGATGGAGGCAAGCAGCAGCAACAAGGAAGAAGAACGGAAGAAGGGGGAGAACTGACAGGTGAGTAGCTAAAAGAAGATGCTCTTTGCTGGCTTTCTTCACAGTGGTGACAGACTGCTGCTAACTGGGCTTTCCAAGATGAACCCATTACTACCAGCCAGCCTACCAGCACCTGCCTGATTGCCTGCTCCATTTACTTGCCTGGCATGGCATCCAAGCAGCAACACTGATGATATGATTCCTCACCCCAGACACTGGTGTAAAAAGTTTACCACTTTGAAAAATGAATATTCAGATTTGCAGTCTATGAATGTCCACAGGCTAACACAAAACCACCCTGACAAGTAGTCAAAAAGGTGAACAACCAATTTATTTGCTTCTTTCTCAATCACTTCCTAATTCTAAGCGGCAAAGATTAGCAGGATGTCAATTCTTATGTTGACAGATGCAGTCCAGAAAGGGGGGTGGGGACTGGACAGATATTCCCAGATTATGCATGTCACCCATGGAGATGGTTAGAATTTTTGAAGTTCCCAATAATCTTCTACTAAATCACAAGGGAGTGCCTCAATGAATTTAAGAGCCTCTCTTAGATAGAGGGTTAGATTTCCCCCCTCTTTTTCTGACATTGGCGGTATGTACTCAGTCTGCACCCACTAGAAGACTAGCTTGGCCCACACTTACCACTATGCCAAGACAGATCAAGAAGAGGTCTATCTGGATATGAATAAGCCTAACAAGTGAGCTCTCTGACATCTTTCCTCCTTCCAGAGTGGCAGGACTACCACAGAGGTATTGGAATGCTGTTCAGCCTAGTATATACAAAGAGTGACAACTGATTCGTCCTTTTTGTGTATTTGTGACAGTGAAAAAGGAAGCATGCGTGTTTCTCTTTTTATTTTCTGCCTATGTGTGTGTATGAGTAAGAAAGGATGTTTGTGTATATCATATACATGAAGAGCATGACAACGTGTTTGCATGAGTACATGGAGAACATGCAATAAATAAACGTTTCATAAATGCTTCATTTGGGGACTATGTAATGCATGTTGTGACTTGAATTAGGGCTGCTAGTTCACTTTCTGAAGTAATACACTCTGTGTACATTTTTCATTCTCTGCCATGGATTCACCTCTCACCCTGGAAACTAGTCTCAGCCTCAAGAGCTGGGCCTCAATTTGTTACACGTGTAGCATTTCCTAGAATGTCTTCTAAAGGTTTAATTGTGTAATAAATAAACCGTATTATATATGAGAGCCGTAGGATGGATCCGATGAAGAATGAATGGAATGAGTTCACAGAACAGATGAACACGTGACACCTTATACAGAATCAGACCATTGATCCTATGCGGAGTTACTCCAGTCAAAGCGCATTGAAATCGATTAGCTTAGACTGGTGTAATTCTTCATAGGATTGCTAGTATTGTTTGCTCTGGACCGGCAGTAGCCTTCTAAAATCTCAAGCAGAGAAAGGACTTTCCAAATTCCAATTGCCTATGATTTTTTTTTTTAACCTGAAGATACCAGGGACTGAAGCGGGGATCATTTGCATGCAAAGGACATGCCCTAGCTAGCACTGGCCTGGCCCTTTCGCCTTCGTCTCATCCTTTCCATGCAGCATCCTACACTCTCCCAGCAGCTGCCCCTGACAGTTTGGGACCATGTGGAAGACAGCAGGATGCTGCACAGGGGGGTACCACCCCCAGCATAAGCTCTTGCTCCATTCTCAATCACTTCCTAATTCTAAGCGGCAAAGATTAGCAGGATGTCAATTCTTATGTTGACAGATGCAGTCCAGAAAGGGGGGTGGGGACTGGACAGATATACCCAGATTATGCATGTCACCAATGGAGGTGGTTAGAATTTTTGAAGTTCCCAATAATCTTCTACTAAATCACAAGGGAGTGCCTCAATGAATTTAAGAGCCTCTCTTAGATAGAGGGTTAGATTTCCCCCCTCTTTTTCTGACATTGGCGGTATGTACTCAGTCTGCACCCACTAGAAGACTAGCTTGGCCCACACTTACCGCTATGCCAAGACAGATCAAGAAGAGGCCTGTCTGGATATGAATAAGCCTAACAAGTGAGCTCTCCGACGTCTTTCCTCCTTCCAGAGTGGCAGGATTACCACAGAGGGATTGGAATGCTGTTCAGCCTAGTATATATAAGGAGTGACAACTGATTCGTCCTCTTTGTGTATTTGTGACAGTGAAAAAGGAAGCATGCGTGTTTCTCTTTTTATTTTCTGCCTATGTGTGTGTATGAGTAAGAAAGGGTGTTTGTGTATATCATACACATGAAGAGCATGACAATGTGTTTGCATGAGTACATGGAGAACATACAATAAATAAACGTTTCATAAATGTTTCATTTGGGGACTATGTAATGCATGTTGTGACTTGAATTAGGGCTGCTGGTTCACCTTCTGAAGTAATACACTCTGTGTACATTTTTCGTTCTCTGCCATGCATTCACCTCTCACCCTGGAAACTAGTCTCAGCCTCAAGAGCTGGGCCTCAATTTGTTACACGTGTAGCATTTCCTAGAATGTCTTCTAAAGGTTTAATTGTGTAATAAATAAACCGTATTATATATGAGAGCCGTAGGATGGATCCGATGAAGAATGAATGGAATGAGTTCACAGAACAGATGAACACGTGACACCTTATACAGAATCAGACCATTGATCCTATGCGGAGTTACTCCAGTCAAAGCGCATTGAAATCGATTAGCTTAGACTGGTGTAATTCTTCATAGGATTGCTAGTATTGTTTGCTCTGGACCGGCAGTAGCCTTCTAAAATCTCAAGCAGAGAAAGGACTTTCCAAATTCCAATTGCCTATGATGTTTTTTTTTAACCTGAAGATACCAGGGACTGAAGCGGGGATCATTTGCATGCAAAGGACATGCCCTAGCTAGCACTGGCCTGGCCCTTTCGCCTTCGTCTCATCCTTTCCATGCAGCATCCTACACTCTCCCAGCAGCTGCCCCTGACAGTTTGGGACCATGTGGAAGACAGCAGGATGCTGCACAGGGGGGTACCACCCCCAGCATAAGCTCTTGCTCCATTTGTGGAAAAGCTCGTGCAAGAGTGAAGAGTGGTTCCTTCCAGCTTCCCTTTGAACTCCAGCCTCTTGATGTGCACCAGCCCTCTGGAGCAGCTGTTCAGGGGGCACAGGGGGCTGCCATGGGAAAGGAGATAGAGCTATCCCATGAGTTTATTCCATTCATGGTTCATTCGTTCCAGTCCATAGTCTAAATTATCTACTGTGAGTACACTTTTAATTTTTGCTTTGAGCTCATGACCCAATTATAATCAGACTGTGTTAGTATTATCTATGATGACCCGATGTGTGTTGACGTGTTGCTAGGAGACAGAGGACCTGTAAGCATATACAATACATTTACATGTTAGACAAAACAAAATAATGCTAGGCTCTGGTCCAAGGCTTTATCCGGCTCTGTCTCCTGGTCCCACTACTTATCAGGATTCTTTACTTGGCGAGCTGGCAACTATACATCCAGTTTAGCTGCAATGTTTAAAGTACTGCTTGGCATAACAAATGACAATGACTTGTGATTATTAACTAGATCACAGTTTCATATCGTCAAGTTATCAAGCAACAACATAGCTGTCACAAGACTTAAAACATAGATCTGCCGTTAGTCCCAATGAGGCCTATAATCTTAATGGCCTCTTCACAGATAAATTTGCAAGTACTTCTGTCAAATGTGGTTAAGATTACAACCTACATCAACTTTACTGCAAATTACTGAGACCTAACAGGCTGCGGTGGCTCAAGTGGTTGAGACGCTGAACTGCAGGCTGGAAGGTCGGTAGTTCAGCAGTTCGAGGCCCGAGTGCCGCAAGACGGAGTGAGCTCCCATATCTCTGGTCCCAGCTCCTGCCAACCTAGCAGTTCGAAAGCAAGAAATTGCAAGTAGATAAATAGGTACCGCTTCGGTGGGAAGCTAATAGTGTTCCATGCGCCTTGGCGTCTAGTCATGCTGGCTATATGTCCATGGAAATGTCTTTGGACAGCGCTGGCTCTTTGGCTTGGAAACGGAGATGAGCACCACATCCCTAGAGTTGGATTCGACTGGCTTTCAAGCAAGGGAAACCTTTACCTTTACCTGACTGGCTTGTGGATTAAGTTTTTAGCTGTGACTCTAATCCTACACACACAGAGAGATTTATATATAAATATATATGTATACTTGAGGTTAAAATCGAGGATATTCATTTGGGGGTATACTAAAGAGTACTGTGGAAAGCAGACTGGTGCCACTATTCAGTATACTGACCAGTATATTTCTTCCAATTTCTAAAGAATGCAGTATAGAACATTTAAAGCCATATAATAAAAATCTTTTATGCATATGTGCTCTTCTGTGCTGACTTCTGCACATGCCTAAGACTCTTGAGAGTCCCTTGGACTACAAGGAGATCAAATCAGTCAATCCTAAAAGAAATCAACCCTGACTGTTCCCTGGAAGGCCAGATACTGAAGCGGAAGGCCATATACTTTGGCCACCAAATGAGAAGGGGGCACTCACTGGAGAAGACCCTGATGCTGGGAAAGACTGAAGGTCAAAAAAGAAGGGGACAGCAAAAGATGAGATGGTTAGACAGTGTTATCGATGCAATGAACATGAAATTAAGCAAACTCCGGAGCACAATGGAAGACAGGAGGGCTTGGTGTGATGTGGTCCACAGGGTTGCGAAGAGTCAGACTTGAGTGTGCAACTGAACAAAACATAATTTCCCTCTCTGCCACATCTATATACCAGGAGTTATCAACTTTTAATGAAAGAAACTGGATATATTTTACCCCTCTAGTGTAACATGATATGGCAATGTACAGAGTATATCACTGATAAAGGCATCTTTCCCAAAGATCCCACATAACAGCCTGCTGCAATCATTTTGCTAAGCACTTTGTGGATAAAACTTCCCACATCCATTCCAACTTGAACTCTATATTAGCAGCAACAGGATCAGATGATCCCACTAGCTTGTCCAGTTGTGCAGGATACCCTTCAGCTTGTGCAGTCTGAGGGTGTGGACAGGATTCTGGGAAGCTGTTTGTATGACCCTTGCTTTCCCTTTGGTTGTCCGCCCACGTGAAGGGGGGGGGGGGGGGGCTTGTGGACTGATTCTGGGAGACAGTAAATGCCTCCCTGAGAGACGGGGTGGTTACTCTTGCTTTGAACTGGGCAGTGGTGCAGCTGCTCCTAAAGAAACCTATTCTGGACTCAGGAGAGTTGAATAACTACCGTCCAGTCTCAAATGTAACATTTTGAGCAAGGTAATTGACGAACTGGTGACTGGCCAACTTGAGAGATTCCTGAATTTCAATCTGTTTTCAGGCCTGATTATCATATTGAAATGGCCTTGGTTGCCCTGGTGGATGATATGCACCTGGAAATAGACTGTAGGAGTGCAACCCTATTAATTCTCATAGATCTCTTGGTGGCTTTTGATGCCATCAATCATAGTATCCCTCTGGACCCCCTTTTGGTACTGGGAGGCACGGTTCTGCGGTGGTTCTAGTCCTACCTCAAGTAGGTTTCAGAATGTGGTGCCAACTTGTTTTCAACTTTTATGTAAAGCTGCTGGGAGAGGTCATCCAGAGATTTGGGCTGAGATGCCACCAATAACAGATGACACTCAGCTCTATCTTGGACTACCAGCTGATCCCAGGAAAAATCGTGAACAAGTGCCTGGAAACAGTTTTGGAATGGATGAGGGCTAACAAGCGGGAACTTAATCCTGACAAAACAGAGGTGTTATTGTGGTGGTGGTGGGTAATCTGATTCAGGAAATGGGTTATTCCCTGTTCTGGATGGGTTTGCATTCCCCTTAAAGGAGCAGGTTCATAGCTTTGGGTGCACCTGGACTCAGACCTCCTGTTGGATAAACAAGAGGCAGCTGTGGCCCAGAGTGCTTTTTACCAACTTTGACTGCTTAGCCAGTTGCAGCCTTTCCAGGACAGAAAAGATCTCGCCACTGTGGTGCATGCTCTGATAGCATCTAGATTAGATTTCTGCAATGCACTCTATGTTGGGCTGCCCTTGAGGACTGTCCAGAACCAACAATTGGTACAGAATGCTGTAGACAGAGTGTTGAACGGAGTGGGTAGTAGGGACCATATCACCCCAGTATTGTTCCTCCTACATTGGCTTTCAATTTGCTTTGGCTCAATTCATGGTACTAGTATTGACTTTTAAAGCCCTGTATGGTTTGGAACCAACATCCCTTAAGGACTGACTTCTATACAATGCTATCCACTTGCTCTGATCATCCTTGGAGGCCCTGCTTCAGCTTTCCCCACCATCTGAGGCTACACGGGTGGTGACCTGAGAAATAGCCTTCTCCGTCGTGGCACCAAAATTTTGGAATTCCCTCCTCAGGATATTAGTCTGTCTCCCTCTATCAGTGTCTTGTACCGGCAGGTGAAGCCTTTTTTGTTTCATCTGGCATAACCCCAATAAAGGTTTTTAGCCCACCTTCTAGTGTTTGTTGATGTGTTTTTAACTGAATGTTATATTTCTAATTTTGTTTTAACTGTTTTAATGTTTTTATATTTGCCACCTTGTGGGCCTGATTTGGTGGAAAAGTGCCACAAAAATGTTTAAATAAATAAATAAATCTTACCAGAGCTGTACATTCCACATCCAGAGTTTTTTCTGGTGGTGCTGCTGTGCCGCTAATCTCCAAAGCAAACCACACTTTGGAGCATGGCGAATTTTTACCTAAATCAATTAAAGAAACAAGGGAAAAAATGAATCTCAAGTATTTTCAAATATTTCCTATGGACCTCCATATTCCAAGAATCGTGAGAAAAGGTAGAATATAAGGATAAACATGTGAACACAGGAAGCAATAGCATTCATTCACAAATCTTGCGTTAATTGGTACTACTTGTTTTCCAGCTTAATGCAACCAAGAAGCTTGTATAAACCCAGTAGAAATTTTGACTTCTTTCCTTTGAACAACTGACTTCCAAGCTGGTATACTGCAAACAGGTTGGGGCTGCCATTGAAAGGGGTAAATGATAATCTTGCCACAGTCATACATGCATAGTATCATCAAGTTTACCCTATAGCAACTGACTCTCTGGGACTACCTTTGAAGATGGCTCAGAAGCTTCTGCTGGAACAAAATACAGCAGTTAGCAATCCTTTCTGGATTCTGAATGGAACACTTAGCACCTGTACTTTAACAAATGCACTGGCTTCCTGTTTGCTTCTGGGTTCAAAAGAAGACACTCATTTTGACCTTTATAATCCTAAACTGTTTGGATCCAAAGTAAAATTTTCTTCCATATTACCTTGTTCAGGCATACAGATTAATTGGGGAGGTTTTCCTACAGGAATCTCCCATTTTAGATATAAGATTAATGGGAGGACCTCCTTTGAAAAGTGAGGTTGGCACCATCTTTGCAGACCTCACAGAGAATCATGAGGACTTCTGGAAGACCTCTGCTAATAGGGTTGCCAGGTCTCCCACTATAGCAGGAGACTTTCTGACAACCCGTTCTTTTGCATGTCAGTGCTTGCAAAAATGGGGCAGACAAATTGGGGTGAATGCCAGCATTGCACCAATGCATTGATGTAATTTCCAGTAAAAACCTGAAGCGACATCATGGACACACTAGGGTTTGAAAATACTTCTGGTTTTACCATAGAGGTTTTTTTTTTTCAAATCCTAGACCATCACATGACGTCACTTCCTTTTTTACCAGGTGACATCAGTGTGCCAGCATGACCCTGTTGCCACAGTGCCCACTCAAATTACTCCCAGAGGTTGATGGATGCAGCCTGGAAACCCTTGCTAATTATAAGGTGCTTATTTTAGATGTTTTCCTTTTTCCCATTATTACTGTGAACTGCCTTAGGGGCCTTTGGGCCAGAATTATAGCATTAAAACCCACTAAATAAATAAACAGTCTAAGGTCCATGAGGGATTATAGTACTAATCTCACAGTAATTTGTATAGTAGTCGATATATTTAACATATGCCTCTTGACAATCAAACTGCTAAGCACCAGTTTGTATTTGGTTCTTAGAAAATCTTATGAGGGTTTTTACAAACAAAAGAAATCTGTCTTAAATAATCATGCTATAGCTTTTTCCCTAGAGTCGGATTCAACTGGCTTTTGACCAAGGGAAACCTTTACCTTTACCTATAGCTTTTTAATGTGCATTTTCCAGTGTTCCAATTCTGATAATATATTTCTTACAACATAGATTTATCTGTCTACTATTATTGTTGTTCAGTCACACAGCTGAGTCCAACTCCTTGTGACCCCATGGACCATATCACATCATGCCCTCCTGTCTTCCGCCATCCTCCGGAGTTTGCTCACTTTCATGTTTGTTGCATTGATAACACTGTCTAACCATCTCATCCTTTGCTGTCCCCGTTTTCTTTGACCTTCAATCTTTCCCAGCATCAGGGTCTTCTCCAGTGAGTGCTCCCTTCTCATTTGGTGGCCAAAATATTTGAGCTTCAGCTTCAGAATAAGACTTCCAGAGAACACTCAGAGTTGATTTCCTTTAGGATTGACTGATTTGATCTCCTTGCAGTCCAAGGGACTCTCAAGAGTTTTCTCCAGCACCATAATTTGAAAGCATCTATTCTTCAGTGCTCGGCCTTCCTTATGGTCCAACTCTTGCAGCCATTGCTTTGACTATACAAACTTTTATTGGTAGGGTGATGTCTCTACTTTTTATTATTCTGTCTAGGTTTGCCATAGCTTTCCTCCCATGGAACAGGCATCTTTTAATTTCATGGCTGCAGTCACTGTCTGCAGTGATCTTGAATCCCAGGACCATGAAGTCCGTCACTGCTTCCATGACTTCCCCTTCTATTTGCCAAGAAGTGATGGAGCTGGATGTTATGATCTTAGTTTTTTTGGATGTTGAGTTTCAAGCCAACTTTTGTGCTCTCCTCTTTTACCCTGAGCAAGAGGTTCTTCATTTTCTGCCATCAAGGTGGTATCATCTGCAAATTTGAGGTTGTTGATATTTTTCCCAGCAATCTTAATTCCGACTTGTGATTCATCCAGGCCGGCATTTCACATGAAGTACTCTGCATATAAATTAAATACACAGGGTGACAATATGCATCTTTGTTGTACTCCTTTTCCTATTCTAAACCAATCAGTTGCTCCATATCTGGTTCTAACTGTTGGTTCTTGACCCTTATACACGTTTCTCAGGAGACATGTGAGGTGGTCTGGTACTCCCATCTCTTTAAATAATTGCCACAGTTTGTTGTAATCCAAACAATCAAAGGCTTTAGCATAATCAATGAAGCAGAAGTAGATATTTTTCTGGTACTCTCTTGCTTTCTCCATAATCCAGCGAATGTTGGCAATTTGATCTCTAGTTCCTCTACCTCTTCAAAACCAAGCTTGTACTTCTGGCAGTTCTGTATCCATGTACTGCTTGTAGGATCTTGAGCATGACCTTGCTAGCATGTGAAATGAGTGCAATTATGCGATAGCTTGAACATTACTTGGCATTGCCGTTCTTTGGGACTGGAATGTAAACTGACGTTTTCCAATCCTGTGGCCACTGTTGCGTTTTACAAATTTGCTGGCATAATGAGTGCAGCACTTTAACAGAATACTCTTTTAGGACTTTGAATAGCTCAGCTGGGATACCATCAGTGTTCCCTCTAAGCTGAGTTAGTGTGAGCTAGCTCACAGTTTTTTAGCCTCTGGCTCACACATTTTTGTCTTAGCTCAGGAAAGATGGCTCCAAAGCAAACTAATTTATGCAGTAGCCAAATTGCTTGCTCACAACTTTAATGCCAGTAGCTCACAAAGCAGAATTTTTGCTCACAAGACTCCACAGCTTAGAGGGAGCATTGGATACCATCATCTCCGCTAGCTTTGTTGTTAGTAATGCTTTCTAAGGCCCATTTGACTTCACACTCCAGGATGTCTGGTTCAAGGTCAGCGATCACACCGTTGTGGTTGGCAAGGATATTGAGATCCTTCTTGTATAGTTCTTCTGTGTATTCTTGCCACCTCTTCCTAATCTCTTCTGATTCTCTTAGGGCTCTACCGTTTTTGTCCTTTATCATGGCCAGCTTTGCATGAAACATTCCCTTGATTTCTCCAATTTTCTTGAAGAGATCTCTAGTCCTTCCCTCTATTGTTTTCCTCCATTACATTGCATTGTTCATACAGGAAGGCCTCCTTATCTCTCCTTGCTGTTCTCTGGAAATCTGCATTCAGTTGGGTAAATCTTTCCTTTTCACCTTTGCCTTTCGCTTTCCTTCTTTCTTCAGCTATTTGTAAAGCCTCATCAGACAGCTACTTTGCTTTCTTGCATTTCTTTTTCTTTGGGAAAGTGCTGATTGCTGCCTCCTGTACAATGTCACAAACCTCCATCCATAGTTCTTCAGGCACTCTGTCTATTAAATCTAGTCCCTTAAACCTATTCTTCACCTCTACTGTATATTCATAAGGGATACGATCTAGGTCAAACTTGAATGGCCTCGTGGTTTTCCCAATTTTCTTCAGTTTAAGCCTGAATTTTGCAATGAGTAGCTCATAATCTGAGCCACAGTCAGCTCCAGGTCTTGTTTTTATTGACTGTATAGAGCTTCTCCATCTTTGACTGCAAATGACATAATCAATCTGATTTTGGTGTTGCCCATCTGGTAATGTCCATGTGTAGAGTCGCCTCTTAGGTTGTTGGAAAAGGGTGTTTGCTATGACCAGCGTGTTCCCTTGACAAAACTCTGTTAGCTTTTGCCCACCTTCATTTTGTTCTCCAAGGCCAAGCTTGTCCATTATTCCAGTTACCTTTTGACTTCCTACTTTAGCATTCCAGTCCCCTATGATGATAAGGGTTAGGGTTCAGTGGTGTTGCTGTTGTTGGACCTGTCAGTGGCGTTTGACATGGTTGACCACCAACTACTGATCCACCGCCTTGCCACCACAGGGATTCAGGGGTCTGCCTTGCAGTGGCTCTCCTCATTCCTTCAGGGTCAGGGACAAAGGGCGGTCGTAGGGGAACAGCTGTCCTGAAGGCACCCCTAGTCTGCGGAGTGCCCTGAGGAGCAGTGATTTCCCCAATGTTATTTAACATCTATATCAGCCCCCTTGCCCAGATTGCCCAGAGGCATGGGCTGGGATGTCATCAATATGCAGATGACACCCAGCTCTATCTGTGGTTAGGTAGCCAGTCTGACTCTGGTCCAAAAGATCTGGACCTGGTGTTACAAGCTGTGACTGGTTGGCTTAGACTGAGCCGACTGAAATTGAATCCGACAAAGACGGAGGTTCTGTACCTGAGTCGGAGTGGCTCGAGGGTAGGGATCCCACTCCTGACCTTCCATGGGGCTCTGCTGGTTCCAGTGCTGGAGGTTAGGAGCTTGTGAGTGCTCTTGGATGCCTCCCTAACATTGGAGGCCCAGGTAGCAACCACTGCCAAGGCAGCCTTTTATCATTTTTGGCTGATCAAGCAGCTGGTTTCCTTCCTCGAACGCAATGACCTGGCAACAGTGATCCACACAATGGTCACCTTGAGTTTGGATTACTGTAATGCTCTCTACATGGGGCTGCCCTTGTCCCAAATCCAGAAGTTGCAGCTGGTGCAGAACAATGTTCCCTCTAAGCTGTGGAGTCCTGTGAGCAAAAATTCTACTTTGTGAGCTTCTGTCATTAAAGTTGTGAGCAATTGATTTGGCTAATGCCTAAATTAGTTTGCTCTGGAGCCATCCTTCCTGAGTGAAGACAAAAATGTGTGAGCCGGAGGCTAAAAAACTGAGCTAGCTCACACTAACTCAGCTCTGAGGGAACACTGGTGCAGAATGCAGCGGCCAGGCTGCCGTTGGGTCTCCCCATGCGGGAGCACATCCAGCCTGCACTAAAAGCACTGCACTGGCTGCCCATAGCATACCGAATTTGGTTCAAGGTTCTGGTTCTTACCTTTAAATCCCTTTATGGTCAGGGACCTAAATACCTAAGGGAACGCCTTTCTACAAATGTTCCCCAGAGAGCACTATGATTGGAGTCCCAAAAAGTGTTTGGCCCTTCTGGACCCCAGAGAAGCCAGGCTGGCTGTGACAAGGGCCAGGGTCTTCTCAGTGGCAGCTCCATACTGGTGGAATGAGCTCCCGGAAGACATCAGAGCCCTGTGGGACCTTTTACAGTTCTGCAGGGCCTGTAAGACGGAGCTCTTCCACCAGGCCTTTGATTAGCAAGCCACACCCAATAAACTGAGGCCCTGGCCCTAATACCAACACCACTATTAACAGTCTGTGCTCTGCCAATATGACTCAGACTACGACATCAGCTGACTGTATGCCTATGTCATATGCTGCTAATGCCCACCATTACTGCACAAATCGCACTAGCACTTTATGAAATGTTTTTATATTTATATTTATTGTGATTTTATTAATTTTTGTTTTATCAGTTAATTAAATTCTATGTAAGTCACCCTGAGCCTGCTCCGGCAGGGAGGGCAGGATATAAGTTAAATAAATAAATAGGAGGTGTTGTATATCTTCATACAACTGGTCCACTTCAGTCTCCTCTGTGTCAGTGATTGGGGCATAGGCTTGGATTGCTGTGATGTTGAATGGATTCCCATGGATTCAGACCGAGATCATTCTGTCGTTTTTGAGATTGTATCCCAGTACTGCCTTTCGCACTCCCTCGTTGACTATAAAGGCTACACCATTTTTTCTACGGGATTCTTGGCCACAGTAGTAGATATAATGGTCCTCTGCATTTAATTCACCCATTCCCATCCACTTTAGTTCACTGATTCCCAAGATATCAAAGTTCAGTCTTGTCACCTCATTTTTGACCATATCCAGCTTACCTTGATTCATAGATTTTACATTCCAGGTTTGTATGCAGTATTGTTCTTTGCAGCACTGGACTTTCCTTTCACCATCAGACACATCCATAGCTTAATGTCCTTTTGGCTTTGGCCCAGCCGCTTAATTCTTTCTGGGGTTACCAGTACTTGCTCTCTGCTCTTCCCCAGTAGCATATTGGACACCTTCCGGCCTTAAAGGGTCATCTTCTGGCATCATATCTTTTAGCCTTTTGTTACTGTCCATGGGGTTTTCTTGGCAAAGATACTAGAGTGGGTTGCCATTTTCTTCTCCAGTGGATCACGATTTTCTGAGTTCTCCACTGTGGCCTGTCTGTCCTGGGTGGCCCTCCACGGTATAGCCTGCAGCCTCATTGAACCACGCAAGCCCCTTTGCCACGTCAAGGCAGCGATCCATGAGAGGGTGTCTACTATACAGTTACTTAGAAACATTTTATTTTATTTAGTTTATTTCATTTATAGCCTAACTTTCCCACTGAAACTTAAGGCAGATTACAACATATAAAAAATTATACAATATATAAAAGAGTTCAATCAGACAGCAAAGACCTCAAAAAATAATGTAGTTGGACTAGGATTCCGGAATTGGAAAACAAAGCAGACAAAAAATTGTCTATGGCATGATGTACCATAATACAGGAAATGGGTTACAAAGATAGAAGACATTGCAGTAAAAGTACATGTGGATATACATTTAAAGTTTTAGAAATGTATATGTTTTACTGGTAATCGTGTGTGTGTGTGTGTGTGTGTGTGAGAGAGAGAGAGAGAGAGAGAGAGAGAGAGAGAGAGAGAGATCTCAAAACCTGGAAGATACTAGGCTGCAACTTTCAGGGGGAAACACATGTGGAATGCATTTTATAATATTGTTTTTATATAAAATTAATATATTCATGTTTAATTTTTGAAAAGCAGATTTAGCTGAAAAAAATTCTAAAGTAATTATTTCTAAATGTTATCTTTTTTCAAAGTTTTGAAAATCTGCCCTTAAAATATTATTAACATGTTAATTAACTGAAGACACACTGAAAAGGAAGGTAATATCTTAGAACAGATTATTTTCGTAAAATCAATTTATTACATGATATACTGTTAGCTGCTTGTTATGAATGTAACCTTTAAGATTTAAAGGTGAAGCTATTACAGTATCTGATTTTATTTTATTTTATTGCTACAATTATCTTTGTAAATGGAGAAGGTAATATAGACATTTATGGCTTTTAAAACCTTTAAAAGCTAGGCAGGCTAGTAAACAATTTTACCACAAAACATTTAAGTTCTAAGATGTATCAGCTCTTCCAAGTCTGTTCTGAAAATAAAATAACAATGCACATACTGATATACACCAAATACTCCCTTTACTAAACTAGGAAACATCAATTGTAAGGTAAGTTGAAGAAGTCTATTAAGAGGTTAACTACTTTACACTAATTTAATAAAGGCATTTGCTTCAATCCAGCTTGAGCCATATGTGTGCAGAGTAGGGGTGTGTAAAAAAAATCAATATTTTTGGGGTTTGAGTATATTGAACCCGTAAAATATTGGTGTTTCCTGATACTCCCAAATCCCAGTATCAGTATGGTACTGGGATTCAGGAAATAATTGGGAAATCTGAATTTATTTGGCTCTATTATAGCCTACGGTGTTGTGTGTGTGTTCTCCAAAGACAGTGCCTACTAATGATGCTGTAAGCAGCCTTGAGGATTTTTAACAGAGTGTGTGGGTTATTAATACCATTTATTTGCAAGTAGGCAATCACAAATATTACACATTTTACTGTCCTACTCTTTTCATGATTTATACTTCTGCACTGATCAGGGGAAAATTTAAACTGGTCTCTAGGGTTGCCACGTCTGGGTTGGAAAATACCTGGAGACTTTGGGGGTGGAGCCAGGAGGGGGTGTGGTTTGGGGAGGGGAGCCGTCAGCGCAGTACAATGCCACAGAGTCCACCCTTCAAAGCAGCCATTTTCTCCAGGGGAGCTGATCTCTGTCAACTGGGGATCAGTTGTAAAAGCAGGAGATCCCCAGGCCCCACCTGGAGGCTGGCAGCCCTACTGGTCTCTGAACTTTCAAAGGAAAAGATTAATACTTAATAACATAAAAACACACTCATACATAGTGTCTGAATGGCAATTTTGTCTCTTATGCCAGTTTTTTAGCGGATCCAGCAGCCAGTATGGTATATTGCAGTATAGTTTGTGTGTGTGTGTGTGTTTATATCTATATGTATATACGTATGTATGTAGATCCTCAGTTTGCCAATGACCATTAAATGATTCACGCACAAATGGAGGAGGAAGAAAAGCCAAACCAAATCAGAAACTAAATAAACATGCTTCACAAAACAAGAAACTGTTCTATACTCAGGCAGTATGCATTATTCCAATAGGCACATGGCTTAGCATATAAAATATGTATTTTATTGAGAAATGAATGATGATAGGATATTTATATAGTTGGATAATGAAATTACCCATAATAGTAAACCTACCAGTGTCTGCTACATTGACTGTTTGTAATTTCTGTGTACCACATGTATTCTCCAGTAAGTTGTTCAGTTGACACTCCTGGGGTTCTCCATCTTCAGCAACAAATGAAATTACACCTAAAACAAATAGTTACCAGATGTTCTGTTAACTGAAGCACTTGTTTCATAGGATGAACTGGTACCCTGATACAAAGGTTCCTAAGACCTTGAATAAAATACAATTCAGATGTTTGATTCTAATTACAGTTTGATACTGGCCACCATACTGTACAGAATTCAAAAGGAACGATGCTTGTTCAAAAATGTTTTTTGAACTAGCAGGCTCACACAACTCCTCCAGTGCAAATTACACCCTCCTTCTCTGGTAGTTCACTGTGGTTCAGTGTTACAGCTGCACTGACACTAACTATGGCTAACTCCAACTAGGATTTCCATTTTGGAAATATTTTTTCCTTGTTTACAATTGCTTCAAGAATTATGTGAAAACTATTCTATTTATCCTTTGTGACAGAGAACAACAGGCACTGAGGAGAAGCTGCAATGACCGCAGTTTACCTGCAAGACAGATTGCCAGCCAAAGCCACAGAAAAAAACTCCTTCTGAGTTATGGCATAACAGCAAGCCAAGTGTAAAAAACATTACGGTATTTGGATCCAAGGCCTATGCTCATATACCAGAAGAAAAGAGATCTGAACTGGAACCCAGAGACAAAGAAGGCATCCTTGTAGGCTATTCTCCAGAGGGCAATGGATAAAGAATTCTAAACCCAAGTAACCAAATTACTACAAGCAGGGTGGTATAGTTCGATGAGCAACCAAGAAACAATCAGACTGCTGCAACATATAACCATTCAAAGGAAGATGGCAACAGCAACCAGCTTCTGGTGTATCACCCAGAACCAGTCACTGCACAGACACAACCAAAAGAGGAGGTGGAGGTGGAAGTTCTTGAATTAACAGATCAGCCAGAGGAGCTGGAGACTGCTGCAGAGGCAGACAAGACCCTGGACCTCAGATGCTCATTGCAGGCCGATAAGGGAGTTCCAGCTGAGAAACTAATCTACCTTACAAGGGCATCACTACCACATGAACCAACATCATGAGCTGAATTCCAGTACATGTCTGAACCAGAAGCAAACAAGTGGAGGAAAGCAGCACAAAAAGAAATGGACACACTGCATAAAAACAACACATGGACACTCACTGAACTACCTAAGGGCAAGAATGCCATTAGATGTAAGTGGTCTTTAAGGCTAAGCAGGATGCAAATAGTGATGCTGAGAGCTACAAAGCCAGCCTAGTGGCAAAAGGATTCTCTCAAATTTATGGATCAGACTATGACCAAACTTTTGCACCAGCTGTAAAATACTTCATAATTAGGATGCTTCTAAGCATCACAGCTTCCAGAAACATACAAACGGAACACTTAGACATTAAGAATGCCCTTTTACATGGTGAAATGGAAGAAGAATTATACATGAAACAGCCACCGGGGTTTACAGATGAAAGGAATAAACATCTAGTCTGTAAACTTCACAAGGGACTTTATGGGCTTAAACAAGCTGCAAAAGCGTGGTTGGATAAGCTGTCCAAGATGCTACTCAGTCAGGGCTTCAGAAAAGGCAAAACTGACCCCTGTCTTTACAGTACAAAGTACAGTTGAAAAGTATCGGAGTTCCAGGCGTAGCATAGTGAAATCAGCTCTCATTTATTAATTACATTGGAAGAAACAAAGATAACTTAGCCGACACAAGCCCGGTTTATATTGGTGCACACACTCACACCCAACACACTGCCACTTCCTGTGATAGGTTCTATATACAGAGCCCTGGTAATGATAGGTTCTCTTCAGGATCCTAGCGCTCCCATTGGTTCTCACTAGGAATCAGGAACCACTATGTAAGTGTCCTGCAGGGACAAGGACTTGTCAAACTACACAACTGTCCCACTGAGAAAATGGTGGACACATTTACCAAATCCCTACCAAGAAACAAATACCAAGGCCTGTGGGACAACCTGAACATTGTGAACCTTCAAGGCATACAGAGTCGAAAGAGAGTGTTGGAGTGGGCAACTCAGCATGCCTGGACATTTGGGGGCACTACATCACTCTAAGTGTGTATAGATGCCATCTCTTTGAATGCGATACCTCTCTTTGTCTTAACCTGGGAGCTTCCCTCTGACACCTCCCCCCCTCACTTCACATGGCCTTCCATGGAAACACATGTCTCTGCATGTCTCTCCTGTAGATATGATGCCCTCATACTCCCAAACACATGATGCCAGACAAGCTGGCCATTTGTGATAGGGAAAGTAGTCTTTAGATTTGTACTCTTTCTCCCCTTTTGAATGCAACCTAAATATGAACTGGATCTCCTTGAATAAATGTTAGTTTACTTAATTTACTTACATACTTCTTGGGAGATTTATTTACTGCACTCAATATCACACTTCTATGACTGGGCAAACTCTGCTATATTAACCAAATATCCCAATTCGAGTGAGGTACTCCCTGCCTCAGTCAATAAAGACAGCTAGCAAATGGAGCAGATAGCTGTAAGGGACATCTGAAGCTGAGAAAATTGTACAGAGATAAGTGCTGAGTTTTCAGTTGGCCTTATGTCCTGCTGCAGGGTGGAATGGGAACTATGCTCTTATTTAAATAAAAAATATGGGACAAGGAAAGAACTGTTTATTACAAAAGTGTGGCATAAATAGATACAATATAGGATGTTAGATTCCGGTTAAAAAAATCCCGCACATCCAGCTAACAGTCATCATACAGCTCTGTTACTAAGTGAGACTGCAAGCTTGTAAGAATATTATGTCTGTCATACCAGGAAGTCAATCATGAAGGCAAAGTTTGTCCTGGAAAAAATCCTGGGAGCAGTCCTTCTCATTTCTGAATGTATGATAAAGCACTTGTAGATATCTGAATGGGCAGATGAAGGCTGACTTGTTTATTTTGTTCAGAAGCAGAACTATTTGTGAGAAAACCAGGCGCTCCTATGGGTGATTCACAAAAAATGGTCAGGGCTCTCTATGCCAATTTTGCCGCAGCTCCAGTAACCAGCATGGTAAGTTTCAGCACAGTTTAAACAACAGCTTGGCCTCTTCAGCAGAAAATTTTGCTGTGATAAAAGCAGTACAGGAAACCTTGACTGTGAGCATGGTCCCCTCATGAGCATAAACAGCTTTGTTGGCTTGTAGCCAAAGCTAGATTGGCATAGGTGACTGAAAACTACATTATGAACAATCTAAGTTGAAGTTACATTTTGAATTGGATATTATTAAATGTGTATTGTTGAGGGAGACTCTTGTACAAGCAAAAAGCTTTCCTGATTGATGCTTTGGTAAAACAGAGGTGAGAGTGAGGTAATTTCATCAGCGTTTAGCTGTACCTTGTGCAATCATGAGGTAATTATGTAATACTTATAATGCAGTGCTAAATTAAAATATACCTTGAATTTTTCCACGTTTCCATGGAGATATATTCAGAGTATAAGCAGCTGTGCCACCAGGTTCTACAGTAATAGCTGGATCACCACTTATTATCAGGAGATCTGAAGACACCTAGCATGACAAAAAGAAGCAAACAAAATAAAAAGCCAAACAATCTCAAATGCAGAAAATGTTAATGTACTAAAAATATAGTTCCAGAACTGAGATGAAGTGCAAACATTTCTTCATTTCTCTTAATCTTTTCTGCAGTGCCTAATTGACTACAGAATGCTGTGCCCTTTCAAATGTATCAGAGTTAAATTTTGGTACCATAAATCAAGTTAAGGTATATTAATTCCTTGAAATACTCCTGACCAACATTATTTAAGTCCCATTCTGGATTGTTTCAATCCACTCAGCCTAGAGGAAGTTGACAGACTGATCTCAACAGTATGTCCAACCACACTCAGACTTGACCCATGCCCCTCCTGGCTAATTAAAGCTGGCCGCGAGGGGTTGCGAGGCACCCTTAAGGATATTATCAACAGGTCCTCTCTGAGGGGCTGTTCCCAGGGGCTCTCAAGGAAGCGATGGTAGGACTTACGGTTTATGGTGACACGATAGCGGACGTTTCTCCTGGAACTCCCGGGGAAGCGATCCGCGCGCCAGTGGTTTGGAGGGGGGGCACTGGCGCACTGGTCACCACCCCCCGAGCCTTTGTGAAAGACTCCTAGCCATGGGGCTTTGAAGGGTATCCTCTTTGTCAGCGCACTGCTGGAGAATTGAGGCGCTCTCCCGCCCCAACGGTCCTGCCGCTGCTGCGTCCGCAATGGAACCAGAGCCGCTGATTGGAACAAGCATTGGAGATCAAGCGCAAAAAATGTACCTTGAGCGAGGTCTTCGTACCACCAATGAACAGTGAGTCGAGTTCAATCAAAATACCAGGAATTTAAAAGAAAGCCCCCCTGGGAACGACAAAATGAGCGAGCGGGGGAGGGGCCCCTCCCACATGCACAAAGAGAATAGTGATTTGCCAAGGGGGAGCTGAAGAAAATGCATTGAAATCTATTTTAAGAGATCAACTAGAGTGCCTGTAAGCGTTTGGGCAAAATTCAGAGACTTTCGCTAGTTTTCAAAAAAGTAAACAATGCATTAAAACGGTTTGGAAAAAAACGGAGAACAACAGACAAGCAAAAGTGAAACCACCAGGGAGCATGAGCCCGCGGCCGGAAGATACCACTGAGTTTTCTAAACTGTTAGCGGACTCTTTGCACCCTCTACTGGACCAGATGATGAATATCAATCAACACAGCTTTAAACCAGAACTTTGCAGCTCAGCAGCTCCAATTGACTGAGACTACAAAAAAGATGGAGCAAACAGCTGAGAAAGTGAAGGAAATGGATGCCAACTCTAAAAACGTTAAGAAAAAGGTTCAAATGCTGGAAAAGAAGCAAGCTTCAGATGAATATCAACTTTTGCATCTACAAATGGAAAAAGCTAACCTAGTCCTCTGGTTAAAAGGGGTCCCTGAAGCAAAAGAAGAGAATCTAAAGCAACTGCTGAGTGATGCGCTAGCCCCAATCACAGATTTAAAAGCAGAATACCTTGTAAGCGAAATGGATGTGGTTTATAGAACCTATTCCATTTATATCAAGAAAAATAATCTGCCTGGGGAGATAGTGGTTAGATTCTCGAAGAGACATGTGAGGGACCAAATCCTGAAACCTATTTTTACAAACAAACAGCATTCCTTACAGATGGTTGATCCCCAAAGGCATAATTTTCAATCTGCAGGATAAAAAAGAAAAAAATGACTCTGTTTCTAAAGCGCGTGAGTTCCTGAGACTGCAACTGGGAGAGTCTGGTGAGGACAGCAAGGAAGAAGAAGACAGCAAACCTAGTGATGAAATGGACTCAGCTACTTCCGATGGGGACTCTGTCTCCGAAAAAGAGGCAGCAGCCCCTAAGCGAGAATATCAATTAAGGATTAGAAAAGATAAAACAAAATGAAGGCTGAATAACTCTGAGCTGTGCTTTAAGGCCTTAAAGATATCAATGATGCTCTTGTTATTTTTCTTAAATAGTGAAAACAATGGTTTTAAAGATAAATAATATAGCATGATCAACTATGTTCAATGTAATCATAGCATTTTAGACTAACGCTGATACAAGCTATTGTAATGATCTCCAATTCTTGGGGATTTAGTTTGCTTTTCTTTCCTTTCTCCCATAAATGTAGTTTTCCCTTCCCCCTTTTTTTCATTGTAGTTTATAGAAAATGCAATAAAAAAATCCCCTCTGGGGGATTAAAAAAGAAAAGAAAAAAGGAAGCGATGGTCCACCGTCTCCTAAAGAAACCATGTCTGGACCTGGCCGAATTGGCCAACTATCAGCCGGTCTCCAATTTGCCCTTTTTGGGCAAATTAATAGAGAGGGCAGTGGTGATATAGTTGCAGAGTTTTCTGGGTAACACTTCCACGCTGGATCCCTTTCAGTCTGGCTTCCACCCGGGTCACAAGACAGAGACAGCACTGATCGCCCTCACCTGTTGGCGGCCTTCAGTGGGGCGCCGTTGGTGCCAGTGGCGAGAGTCAGCAGTTTGGGAGTGCTCCTGGATGCTTCCCTGACAATGGAGGCCCAGGTAGCAGCCACTGCCAAGACAGCCTTTTACCATCTTCGGCTGATTAGGCAGTTGGTCCCCTTCCTCAAACGCAATGATCTGGCTTCAGTGATCCACGCTATGGTCACCTCAAGATTGGACTACTGCAACGCTCTCTATATGGGGCTGCCCTTGGGGCAACTCCGGAAGCTGCAGTTGGTGCGGAACGCTGCAGCCAGGCTGTTGATGGGCCTCCCTATGCGGGAGCACATCCAGCCTGTGCTGAAGTCATTGCACTGGCTGCCAATAGCGTTCCAGATTCGTTTCAAGGTGCTGGTTTTGACCTTTAAAGCCCTTTATGGCCTGCCTACCTGAAGGACCGCCCTTCCCTGCATGTGCCCCAGGGAGCACTGCGATCTGGAACACAAAACCGCTTGGCCCTCCCTGGGCCTAGGGACGACAAGCTGGCAGCAACTAGGACCAGGGCGTTCTCTTCGGTGGTGCTGACGCTCTGGAATGATCTCCCTAGTGAGATCAGAGCACTGCGGGACCTCCAGCAATTCCACAGGGCTGTAAGGACTGAGCTTTTTTGCTGGGCGTTTCAGTAAGAATGATTTCATTGGCTGTGCTGCACTTGAACTTTATTACATGACTAGGAGTAATGCCCGTTGTGGGAAGAAATACGACGAGATCTAGAAGGAAGCTCCAGATGAGTGTCCTGTCTGTGGCTGGTGGGGCGGCAGAGGGAAGCAGAAACTGGAGGGAGGCAAGCCATGTTTCTTTTCTTCTGCTTAGCTATAAGGCAAGGCGGTCTCAAGTCATTTTGCTGCCCCAAGTGGGTAGAATGGGAGGACAGCCTCATGGTAACAGATATGGTTCTCTCCACCTCTGACTTATTTTTTGAGGGGGAGGGGGATGTTATGCAGTGGCAGCTAAGGTAGAAAAGCACCTCCTCCTGTGCCATGTTTTCTGGGTTCCAAGGGTCTGGAAAGTAGTTCCATAGCTGATTACACGGTTGCCAACTCTGGGTTGTGAAATACCTGTAGATTTGAGGGGTAGAGCCTGGGGAGGGCAGGATTTGGGGTGGGGAGGGACCTCCGTAGGGTATAATGCCATAGAATCCACTGCCCAAAGCAGCCATTGTCTCCAGGAGAACTGATCTTGGTCATCTGGACATCAGTTTTAATAGCTAGAGACCTGACTGCTACGTCACATTGGCTGTCATACAGGGGCCATCTCAGCAGGATATAAGGACACAGAGTCCACCATTTTCTCCAGGGGAACTGATCTCTGCCATCTGGAAAGCAGTTGTAATTCTGAGTGATCTTTAGCCCTCACCTGGAGATTTGCAACCATGGTTTCCCCCAACAGACACTAAGGGGAAATTTATTTTACCTCAGAACATCAACAGCAAACTGTTTAGAATGTTAGAGGGAAAGGCCAGTGAGGCCGCATATGCAAACGACCTCTGTGTTCCGAGGCAAAGGCGAATCAGGCCACATATGCAAATGACCTCTGTGTTCTGACTGGCTGTGGGGGGGGGAGAGGAAGAGCAAACTGTTTAGAATGTTGGCGGCAGGACTCAGGCAAAGCAGCCAGTGGATAGGGAGACCCTCTGAATGACAGATCAGAGAGCGAACTGAAACTCTGGGTTGGAACAAACCTGTAGATTTGAGGGATAGAGCCTGGGGAGGGCAGGATTTTGGGTGGGGAGGGACCTCAGCAGGGTATAATGCCATAGAATCTACTGCCCAAAGCAGCCATTGTTTCCAAGAGAACTGATCTGGGTCATCTGGACATCAGTTTTAATAGATGAAGCCCTGACTGCTACATCACATTGGCTGTCATACAGGGGCCATCTCAGCAGGATATAAGGACACAGAGTGCACCATTTTCTCCAGGGGAACTGATCTCTTCCATCTGGAAAACAGCTGTAATTCTGAGTGATCTTTAGCCCTCACCTGGAGATTTGCAACCATGGTTTCCCCCAACAGACACTAAGGGGAAATTTATTTTACCTCAGAACATCAACAGCAAACTGTTTAGAATGTTAGAGGGAAAGGCCAGTGAGGCCGCATATGCAAACGACCTCTGTGTTCCGAGGCAAAGGCGAATCAGGCCACATATGCAAATGACCTCTGTGTTCTGACTGGCTGTGGTGGGGAGAGGAACAGCAAAATGTTTAGAATGTTGGAGGCAGGACTCAGGCAAAGCAGCCAGTGGATAGGGAGACCCTCTGAATGGCAGATCAGAGAACGAACTGATTTTGGAGCATGTTGGAATGTTCAGGGGAGTCCATGACCAAAACAGAATTATATATACCAGAGGATATCACCACATCTAAATGGTTTTAACTGTATTTATTTGGAGTTTTATTGAATTGAATTTTATGTATATATTTATTACTAACATCTGTTGAGACCAAATTTCAAGCTGTCAGGTTGCTATTGAAACAAACAGCATTCATAATTATTAAATATCCATGTGATCCAAAATGATATCAGAAGTCAAGCTTACTGCCATAGAAAATTCCTGTTATTGTTGTTGTTAATAATTGTGTGTAGTATAGCCAGGAGATCCTAAGATTGTCTAGCAGCTAGACATTCTAGCTCTTTTAGCATCATTCACCACCGGAAGAGATCAGGGCCCTGCGGGATCTTATGCAATTCCGCAGGGCCTGCAAGACGGAGCTCTTCCGCCAGGCCTTTATGTAGGGGCCGCCGCACCTGCCCCCCCCCTTCCACCACTACCAACGGTGGAAATACCATCAAAGTTGGATCGCCCTTGATGGCCCGGTGGCAAGACGGACTATATGGCGGCAAGATCAGCCGATTAGCTTGGATTAAGACTGCCGGTATTATATTAGTATAACTAGCGCTGGCAGGGGTTACTTCCTGTAAGAGACAACTGTAGACCATCTTGGAACTTAAAAACTTAAAGCACTTTATTACTATTACTATTAACAGTATGTATTGATTGTATTCTGTGATTATATCGGATTTTATTGAATTTTATGTATGGGCCTATGCCCCTTGTAAGCCGCCCTGAGCCCGCTTGCGGGGTAGGGCGGGGTAGAAATACCTGAATAAATAAATAAATAAATAAATAAATTTTAGCATCATTCACCACAGGGTGGTGAGCTAAAGTTGTTTTTAAGGCACAAGCTGTTTCAGGGGTAGTTTGCCATTGCCTGCCACTGCATCACGACCCTGGTATTCCTTGGAGGTCTCTCTTCCAAATACTAGCCAAGGCCAACCCTGCTTAGCTTCTGAGATCTGATGAGTGGGCTAGCCTGGGCTAGCCAAGTCAAGGCTAATCTGGGCTATCCAGGTCCTGTATAACTTTAAGAGACACCATCTGTGAGTTGTTAAATATATATGAAAACAGATGCCTATATGAAAAGATGAAGGTTATCAGGTAAGTGTTTGGGCGGTGTATAATTATGCTTAATCAGCATTTTGGAGTGGAGACTATACTGGATTGTACATACCTTAAATAAGATACAAGATGGTGGTAGATAGGTTAACCAGAACTATCACTCCCATGTGTGGGGAAAGACAGGTGCTACTCCCATCAGTGGAATTCACTCCCATCAGTGGAGAGGTAAACAGTGATAACAGTTTTAAAATTACATCCAGCAGGAGGATTATCTTGGGAGGAGGGAGTAACAGGTGACCTAACAGTATTCCCCCCCCCCTTTGCTAATAGGCAAGTACAGGTGATTTATCTATTTTTTTTTAAATGTAGTTTCCCCCCATTCTTTGTTTTGAATTATTTGTACTATAAATCTGTTTTTTTCCTAAAGATAAAATACTGCACTTTGTCACCTGTTATGTATGGTCTGTATAGTAAATAGGCAACTTTGACTGAAGTTCACTGTACCAAATTCATTAAAAAATAAATAAATAAATTCAGCCAGGGGTATCAGAAGAGCTACCTCTTCATCAAACCAGACATGCTGCAAGGCAGACTTCAGGACACTCATTTGCCACCACTGTTACAACCAGAAGGCAGCAAGTTTAGCTAGCATGAGATTAAGTAGATGGAAAAGGAGTTGGGGTGGGACTGAGTAATATTATAAAATGAAGGAAAAAAGAGAACAACGCCTGTCACTCTCCTGAATGACTAGGGCTTCAACTGTGTATATCAGCAGCAATACATGCAACTTGGTAATTTGGTTGATGGATTA